GTTTGGTCCTCCATACTGGAGTGCCTGAAATTTGAATTTAGTTTCTCCCGGTGCTGTGTAGATACTGCATCTTTATATTCTGCTTGTGTCATATTTCTCAACCTGTTCAGTCTTATCTATTTTCTATAAGGTTTTCTGAACATCACAGTATTTGCGACGGAACTGCCACATAAGGTCTGGACTGACCAACTACAGTTTGGTCTTCGTCAATCTCCTCTTTGGGTCAGACTCCGGCTCCAACATGTAAGGCTGGATGGACAAGTCGTCCCTTGTTGTCAACRTTTCATTAATTTGTAAATAAAAAGTTTCTGCGCCATTATACATTCATAAACCCCTCTATCAAACTAGATTGGACCTGTGTAGAAGCTGGATGGGGCGGAATGTGAAGCACCGCATTTGGATTTAAAGAGACAGCCTCAAAACAAGTTGATCTGAGACACACCTCAGGAAAGGGGTRRAAGAGGGGCTTGTGGAGTTACAATAAGGAGAAATTTAGACCAAAACATTGCTGTTCCTTTTTATATAGACCAAACTGAATKATTTAAATRTGAAAAAGAAGGGTTTAATAGCATCATGCATCTACTTTAAATAAACAGTTCCTCAGCTGGTTAGTCATTAACCCAAATGGGAGAAAGACTTTTCCCCTTTTCTTTATACTCCTTGTTCTGTGACTGATTTCCCTMTCKATAAGGTAATGAAAACTCTTTGATAAAACACAACTCCAAAGTGACCAAACTATCCATTGAACATCAACCTTACATGGTCAGAACTTGGGCAGTTCTCTTCAAACTCAGCGTAAGGAGTAGATCGGGTAAAACAGATCGATCTGGTTCCTKTGAACAGAAAGCTGGCTTAAAGGCAGCTCTGCGTCAACTGTTTACAGATTTTATACTAAAACCCGGGCCAGCAGTGTGATATCAAGTGAAGACACTGATGATGAATGAAGAGCACAGCAAGTCAGCTAAACTGCTGAAGGTAACTGGCTGCATGAGAGTGATGTGAGTAATGGGTGGTCCTGCCAGACCACACCTATGGGGAGAGACACAGACAGACAAAGAGGAAGCAACAGAAAGCACAGGGAAAATGGGGAATAAGAAACAATAGAAAGGAGAATACTGCCAGAACCAAACAACCAGATGTTCGGGTCTTGACAGTGTTCTCATGCAGACTTAAATATACAAGACAGTAAACAATAGGATTATAACAAATTATTATTCTCTTGAGAAAAATTTACAAACCACCTTTTAGTTGGATTTCATTAATGGTGTAGCACAAGAATGCTACCAAAAAATAATAGTGACAAATAATTTTGAAATAATATCACTAATATAAAAATGTCTTGTCCTGATGCATCTCAGTAATCCAGGTAAAAAATCAAAAAGAAAAAATTGTATAGGTCTTCTGGACGGGTTCTTCTCTACTGAAACGTTTCGTCTCTCCTCCAAGAGACTTCTTCAGTCTGAGAGTTTCAGGCAAAATTCAGGCTTTTAAGCACTGCCTCCATGTGACTGATACTCACATCACATGGCTATCGTTGACACCTAATTAACACCTATTGTTAACAGGGGTGGAGTGATACTGGCAATAGCAGCACTTTAGGAGGGGGACAACTGAAAACGGAGGCCYYCACCTCTGTTTAATGATGGACGGTCTTTCTTCACAAAAATGACTTCTTTTACTCCTCTCTCAAACCAACGTTCCTCTCTATCAAGAATGAGAACATCCTCATCTCTGAAAGAGTGACCGCTGGCCTGTAAATGAGTGAAAACTGCAGAGTTCTGGCCATTAGATGTAGCTCGTCTGTGTTGGGACATTCTTTTGAACAGTGGCTGCTTTGTTTCCCCGATGTATAACTGGTCGCAGTCCTCCTGGCACTTAACAGCATATACAACATTGCTCTGTTTGTGCCGGGGCACCGGATCTTTGGGGTGAACCAGCCTTTGCCGTAATGTGTTTTGGGGTTTGAAAGCCACTGGGACATCATGTTTAGAAAATAAAAACATCTTCAGACTCCATCTGTGGCTGCAGGTTTATCCACACCCACATCTCCGCTCCACACACCTCACCACAGTACTATCTGAGGAATCAAACAGATACTTCACCCACACAAAGCTCTGGCAACCCATTTTACCTCTCTCTCTCTCATCTATCTTCACTGACTCCCTGTCAAGTCACATACTGGATAAATCTCCTCCACCCTATCCACGAATCCCTTCCTGCCACCTTGTACTTGTCAGAGCTCMTTCACTCGTCATCTGTGGTTTTCAGACATGCGTCTGCTCATCATCCCCCCACACCAGCCTTCAGAGAAGCACTTCTCAGTGTGGGAGTTGCCCACAGTCTGTGCCTGACTCCTGTAATGCCACTATACTTTAGAGATTTCTGAGGGTAAAACTCAGAAAACATRGCGCAAATCTGCATTAGTKWKTKWTTYMT